AAATCTTGGTATGCTTCTGAATGATGAAACAGTCCAAATGTAACACTAAGTTAGCAGTGCCAAGAGAAGTGAGGACTTTGTGAGACAGTCTCACAGTTACTGCCTCAATTCTGCTGCTATAAACAAACAGTAAGTTTCCAGGATAAATTTCCATCTCGGGGAGCCATTTGCTGTCATAAACACGCTCTTTCCTGGCAAATGTTGAGATGCTTAATCTGTCTGTGCCTGCCTGCAAAACACTGGAGTACAGTATCTACAGCATTATATACTGTGGTTAGTTTTCAATGATAAGAAGCTTCCACCTAAAAACAGAAAGCAAATTGGGATAATAGATTTTCACTGTTAGATTCTGAAATCAACACTTTGTGTCCGCCTATCAAATCAGCCTTAATCAGCCTCTTCTGCATATATTATGTTAGTATGCACACTAATGTAAATAGCAAGTAGATTGTTGTCAGAGAGTAATTAGGTCTGGATTTGAGCTTTAATGCATTAACTGTGTTTTTGTCAGACAAAGACTGTTTTGAGCATGTTTGTATTTGTTTACATCAAAGTACTGTGTTTAGTTCATTAAAGCTTTTACAAACATCGTGATTTTATTTATTTATTTTTTTTTTAAACAAGACTTTTTTGGGGCGAAACAGAAGAACAGCATTAATCTTACTCACCCTGTCAGTTCATCTACAGTAAGAGTTGTGTTAGCTTGGGGGGTTGTTTGTATTTTGTTTTTGATTATTATTATTGTTGTATTTATTTGTCTATTTTAACTTTCAGCCCACAAACCGGTGTGTTCGTGCCAAAATCAATGTTGCCATGATCTGCCAAACGCTGGTCAGCCCACCAGAGGGTGACAAAGAAATAAGCAGAGACAACATCATGTGTAAGATCAACTATATTGCCAATGGTAAGTACCTCTGAAGATCATCTAGTTTTGATCTTAGCATATGTGCCTGAGGCAAGATCAACGGCCAGCAAAACAAAACCTGTGTAGCAACAACAATCCTGCTATAATGCAACCTACTGTAAATGCCAGAGGCTCCAACCAAACCTCAAATCAGTTTTTCAGTTTTACTCAGTCTGCATGTGTCCCTACACATACAGTGGTGGGAAATAATTATTGTATTATTATTATTATTGTAAATATGCGTTCTTGAGCAGGGGGATTTCTAGTGCTGTGAGATTTCAGTCCATTGCAGTGTAGTGTGTTGCTGATGGTGACTGTGGTCCCAGCTGCCTTCAGATCACTAATAAGCTCCTTCAATTTAGTTTTGGGCTGATCCATCACCTTTCGCGTGATCATCTTCACATCATGAGGCATAATCTTGGAGCTCCAACCTGAGGATGACTGTTGGTGCAATTATTTAGAAATTGAGAAATGTATAACCATCAGTCACTGAGCTTCTTGCTGATGGTCTTGTAGACAATTCCAGCCTGTCTGCAGGTCTAAGATCTGGTCCTTGATACCCTCTGGCAGCTCTTTGGTCTCACCCATGGTAATGGAGAGGTTGGAATGGATTTTGTGGACAGGTGTGCTTTATACACCGAACAAGCTGCTTTCTGTAAATGACTGACTGATTGTTATCAGTGTGGGAGACAGAAATCTGTCTGGATTGTAGAGCATCAAATACTTAGGAGTCAATGACGTGCAAAATGATCTATAACATTTATGTAACATGTTTTTCTAGATTTTTTTGCTTGATATTTTGTCTCTCTCCTTCAAAATGAAACTACCATAAAAGTTAGAAATTGTTTGTTTCTTTGTAAGTAATCAAACTCAAGTTCATTATTGCCCCACTTTATATGAAAAAACACTAGGCAATAAGTGAGAAAAGCACACATGGAATGTTCCAGCTGGCACATATACATGTATCAGCTGGGTTGATCCTCGGATTCAGTTTAAATGGTTCAGACAAAGAAATTATTGTTGATTTACATATAGAGACAACAAAAGGCCTTAAAAGAAAAATTATGTATCGAGTAGTTTCAGTGTATCTGGATCCAATGTGACAATCTTTAGCTTGGTAACATCTTGTGTCACAAGTTAAAAATGAATATACACCTTTATCCTCATTTGAAACAATCTGATATCAGCATTTTTAAACTTAGTACAGCTGCTCTGACACATGGATCACACAGTCTGGGTTTCTTTGAAATTTCAGTCCAGGCTGCCTCTTCTCTAAGAGGCTGTTACATAAAGGAGCGCTGCAGGGTGAATCTTGAGCCAGTTTATTGCCGGGGATGCTGAGCAGTTCAAAGGATGTTCATTTAATAAATCTTACATTTCCTTCTCCCACTAGAGGGCACCTCTAAACAGTTACAGCTCTCTGTGCACTGAATCACTGAGTTATTGTTAATTGTTTTATCATAAGTCAGCAGGAACACATTGGTTTTTGTTTTCATCTTTGTCTTTATTCCCTCACTCCTGTGTGGCTGCAGTAAACCCCGGAGGCTGGGCTCCAGCATCAGTACTCAGAGCCGTGGCCAAGAGAGAATATCCCAAGTTCCTCAAACGCTTCACCTCCTACGTCCAGGAGAAAACTGCTGGGAAGCCTATCCTTTTCTAAATTTAAACAGGTAACCACAGAAACACTGTTATTAGCAGCGGGATCTTCTATACTTAGTTGTATTTGTATTCTTTTGTTTTGTATCCTGACTTTATTACACTATTTGAGATATCTCCTGGTTGATGTCGTATCTGTTATTTTGAATCAGCCAGCAGATCCATACACTTACTTCAATTTATTCTTTGTATTCTTTTAATCCTGCTCATTTCAGCTTTCAGAGGTGCCAAGTTCACCTGCTGGGGAGACTGCGTTGTTGAAGTGACTGTTGAAGATCACATGACCATTCACGTGTCACCGCACCATCAGGACGTGCTGCTTGAAGATGAGACTGCTTTTGGCCCTAATGGATCAGTAGTTATCATCTTAGATTGTAACCTGTTCATGGGTTTGTTTGTACGTAAGCTGAAACATTTCCTAAACAGTCTTCAAATTGTTACCGATAATTTGCTTTTTGTTTTTTATTTGTTTGTTTTTTTTGTTAGGGTTCTTTTTTTTTTCTTTTTTTGTAAATTGTTTTGTACATTTACTATGATTAAACTTTTCTTGAACTTTTGGGGGGTTTGCTCTAATCACTAGTATTACAGCTACTTGTTTTGCTGCTGCTAAAGTAACTACCATGAAAGAGGAAAGAGAACAGATACTTACAGTGAAAGCACAGATGAGGTGTGGTACACTATTTCCTCTTTCTTGCCTTTTGCTGATCCTCTTGTGACGACTCTTTGTAGTTTGATGGGGGGTCAGAGCCTAAAGCTTTGAAGTCTTTACATTTCTAGATTGTTATAAAGTAGCTTTCAGAGAACACCGTGGACACAATGTATTGTACAGATAAAACGGTAAGATTTCAAATAGATTATCAATTGTGATAAATGTGAATTGACTCTTAAATGCTTGAATTTGATGACAGAAATGGGCAGATTAGATACAACAAGAGTGATGAGGAGCACTTACTAAGTCTAATTGACTTGTGTTGGACAATATTTTCAACTATCCAGATGATGTCGTTACTTAGATGCTAAGTTGCGGTATTTGCATGTATTTGTCAGTCAGCATGCTGTTGCTGACAGATATTTGCAAAGGACCGGCCCTAGTGTCTGGTTTGAAGATTCCTCTCTTTCTTTGAGAGCTGAATGAATACATTTTGTACCCTCTAGGTTTTCTCATCTCTATTTTCAGACCCTGGTGAGGCAGGGAAAAGAAAATCTTTCTGTTCACTCAAGAGTGTCAGATTTATAAATTACTCCTGCTGCTTTTAAGCGGAATTGTTATTAAATGTTAAATAGGATTATCATTTTATAATGTGTTCCTTATGTTCTCAGTCAGATGATTTTACATTTCAGATGCCACACTACCGTGCAGTGGTTTCCTGCACTTTGACTGATAAACTACCCCCAGTATGCCTTAGACGCCAGGAGTTCTGGCTTTCTCTACTGTTCAGCCACCAGACGTGCATTTATCAACACTGAAATCAAACTGGGTGGGGTTGGGAGGGGGAGGGTCAGCATTTCACATCATCTTACCTCAAGGTTTCAATTTCGACTGTGTTCAATGCCATCAATAGTTGGGAGTTTAGCAGTCAGTAGATCTGCATGGTTTGAAAAAAGAGATTTGAGGTTAGGAGGGATCTGGATAATTGTTTTTCCGATAATGATAAGAGCTAAATCTATGAGCGGTGTCAGCTGAAGAATGCATTTAGTCTTTTTAATTTTGATATTTTTGTCAGTAATCTACACACTTTGTATATTTCTAAGTTGTACATCAGAAGTGTTATTTGCACTAAATGTATTGCAATTTGACAATGTTCTGTAAATTAAAATTAATATACAAAAAACTGTAAGTGTTTTTGGTGTTTTAAGGTTTAGTTTAGTTTTTAAGTTATTACAAACACAGACCTGGAGTCAGAAAAAATGCACTTTATTGTGTCACGAAAGATCTTGAACTTGATTAAAAGCGTTGCCATCAGTGTAGGTGTTCCACAGGGATCCATTCTTGGACCTATTTTATTAACACTTTAAGTGTGTCTGTGTATAATCTATATCTCTGTGTATATAATATTTTTGTGTTTTTACTGTCAGCTGCATTGTATCACATCTGTGTAATTTATGTAGAGCGTTTACATTTTCACACCACCTTCCAATGTCAGGTTTACCAAAGTAGTCCTAAATTAAGTTTTGCTTGTTACAAATTTTTTTTGTTTCTACAATGGTTATTCCACCAGAATATGCTTGAATATTGTTACTGCATTCCTGAACAACACTAATTTTAGTGGTTGTATGTGATACTTGATTAATTTCTGACTTCTCAGAGACGTTCAGTGGCTTCAAATGTGGGTAAAAAGCTTGAATTAAGTTCAGTTAATGTAGTCATTTTTATTTTAATCAGGTTGTTTGTTTGTTTTTTGACAGATTTCGAAAATATTCTTTTTTTTTTCTTCTTTTTATAAAAGGTAGTTATTTTTTTAACTTTCAGCTGTAGTCTGTATTTTACTTATTCATCAGTCCTTAAATACAATCATGGCAACATTAGAAAGAATAACTACTGACATCTAGCGGTGAATACTTTACACTAAATACACTTTAATGCAAGTTAGCTCCGGTGTTGGTCCGCCTGCTGAAAATGCAAATCAGATCGCATCCAAAGGAAAAAGAGACTGTAACCTGTGTCCAGGCAGCAAGAAAAACAGGAAAAGTCAGTTCCCCGGTCCTTTCCATGATCCAGCTATCCGGATAAAAGCGGCTACTGTAAACATGTTATGAAATTCAACTCCTACAGTCACTGCTCAGTAAACATGAAACAAGTGGACAGTTTGAGGTCCTGTAACACTCTCTGTTCATGTTGACACTGATTGGCCTGTGCCTTTAAAAGAGCTCCTCATGTGTGTCCTGATCTCAGCTGATCTCGACAAACCAGTTCCTTCCCTCCTCTCTCTCTCTCTCTCTCTCTCTCTCTCTCTCTCTGTGCGTAAAGGTAAGCCGGGAAGCATTTCCTGTGAGTTAGACTACCTGAGTCAATCAACCACAAACTTATCAGTGTTTGGTTATGTATGTGAAGTTTAACTGCGGGTGTGTGGGGTAGAGACATAGAAACAGTCACAGAGCAAACACACGAGGAGCGGGACACACCTACCCACACTTGTTCAGAGAGTAAGTTAGAAAATGAGTACCGGGACTTCGTTGCACAGTTCACCGAAGCAGTCACGGAAAAGTAAGAAGAAACAGCTGCTGAAGCAGGAGACTCAAAGATGGATCCCTGTGCAGACCTGCAGCCATCCAGTTACAGTAGGTCTCTGTGTCCTGGTTATGCGACACATTCTATTTATTTTGTGGGCAGTGTTGTCTGGAATGCCGACACCTCCCTTTATACCTGTTTGTTTGTGTTTGTGTTTGGTTCCTCTGACTTTAATAGTATTACTCTGTTGTTAGCATTACAGTTCACCGGTAGCCACACTTGATTTGTTAGTTTATCCACACAGCAATTAAAAAAACAAAGTCCAGATACTTTAGCTAGTTTGCTATAATTCCTTTCTTCTAAGTCATAGATCTGAATAATACTAATTGGAGTGGGATAAACTATTGAATATAATCTAACCATTTTACTTCTTCGCTGATCAGCTGTTATGTGGAATGGCAGCATTTCTTCGTGTAGACAAGGAGAGATAAGATCCAAACGGATTAATGGACAAAGATACAAAGTAGAACAGAAACGGTCACGTGGAAAGGAAAGTCAAGTCCTGTGGAAAACTGAGTGCATCCCCCAATCAATAGCTTCTAGAAGTACCTTTAGCAGTAATAACCTGAAGTCCCAAAATGATTTCTGTATGACTTTATCAGCCTTTCATATCATTATAGAGGAACTTTGGTCCACGCTTCCTTACAGCGTTGCTTCAGTTCAGTGAGGTTTGCGGGCATTTGTTTATGCGCAGCTCATTCTGGACTTTGACTGAGCCATTGCAACACCTTGATTTTTCTTCTCTTTTTTTCCAGTCATTCAGCTGTAGATTTGATGCTTTGCATCAGATAATTGTCAAATTGCATGCGGGTAAAGCTTAACAGTAGCTGTGGGACAAATACTTTCATATTTGACTGAAGAAGACTTTGTTATAGAGAGGAGTTCTTGGCTGGCTGTAACGTGGCCAGATCCTGTGGCTGTAAAACAAACCCCAAATCATCACACCACCACCACTATGTTGATGTTTTTATTGATATGCTGTGTTTGGCTTTCAACACACATAGTGCAGTTCTTCATGGACAAACATTCCCACTTTGGTCTTGCCTGTCCAAAGGTCTTATTAGTGATTTGTTCAGATAAGCTGTGCAGCCATGTTCTTCCTTTTTTGTTTAGAGAGAGACAAGAAGCTTTCTTGTGGCAACCCTTCCAAACAAGCCACACTCTTTCAGTATTTTTGCACTGTCGTGAACTTTAACATTTAACGTGCTAACTGAGGCCTTTAGACTGAAATGTAGCTCTTGGGGGACTGCATAGAGGCCTGTGCAAAACTTTCTTATGATTAAACACTCAAGCTATATTAATATATTAATTACTGTTCATTTTAGGTCAAAATTAGGCTGCCTCCTCCTTGCATCTTCACTGTTACACCTGTCTCCCTCTCATTCACACACACATATTAGTTCTTTCTTCTACTGTCTTTCATGTCTCTTCACTCCAGAGGATACCTCCACCTCCCCAGGCTCTCTTCCACCTGCTCCCTACTCTCATTATAGAACACATTGTTGTATGTGAACATCATAGTCAGAGCAAAATATTTACTTTATTTTATAAATATTTTTCTCTTTTACAATGTTTTTCTTTTTTTTACTGTACTATACTGCTGAGTGACTGTCTTCTGCTCGTCACATACATTTCATTGCAATGTTGACCCTGTGCTAACTTGCATATGACAAATAAAACTGAACTTAAATGAACTCGTAGTCTGCAGAGACTCTTCTCTAAACTCATATATCAGTCTGTCCATCACGAGAAGGGTCTCAGAGCCCAGCAACACCACCTTGAACCCATCTGTCACCCTCCTCACTGCTGTCTCAATGTTCTCATTCATGGCCTCCATAAACCCATTTCTGTCTCCTTGATCTTCTCATCTTAACTCATCTGCTCGTTCCCTCAGAGCCAGTCAAGGACGGTCTGGAAAGTTCAACTGCCTTCAGCTTCCTCCGGTCATGAATATTCCAGCATCGGCACACACAGATTTGCCAACAAGGTGCGAACCATATTTATGTTTGTTTGCTCTGTGCTATTCACCCTCCTCCTGTCCACCTTTGTTAAAATTTAAGGTAACAAGTTGCTGCTCTTATCTTTGTCTTATCATCCCTGTACAAATCAAGGTCTTCTTGGTGCTGATGACGCTGACATACCTGACCTTAATCTTAATCACATCATTTTGTGCTCACTGCAATATTAAAGTACAGACTCATATGAAATGCTACTTTTTTGGGGTTGTTATGTGTCTTCTGCTCTCCTGCTGTGGAGTCTTTTTCAGTTTTTGTAGTTTATTCCTTCTTCTTTTTAAAATCTCTCTCCAATGTACAGCTCTATACCCACTCTCCTTCCTCGTCCTCGATCGAGCTAATCAGTCATCTGCTTCAGATAACATTCACTGATTCAGCCCTCAAGTGCTGTGTTTGGGAATGTCACGTAAAGGCCTGCTAAACCACTCCCTGCAGGATTTCACAAACGTTTCCTGTGCTCCGAGGATCAGAGTCAGGTTGCGCTCAGTATATAGCACCACCTGACTATACAGGAAGTCAAAATTCTGGGAGAAATCAGGGACCGTGACGCGTTGTTGAGGTTTTGAACACACCCAAGCAATATCAAGTGTGTAATATTTATTTAGTTGGATAGTAAATTTGCTTAAGACATTTCTGGGATTCATGGCTTCTCTTATTTTTATCAACACCTCTGTTTAAAAAAACTAAATACACAGGTAGAAGGTGTGATGATTGCTCAGGCATATAAATACTGTAATGCTATAATATCTGACTCTTAGGTGGAGGAAACTGTGCAGAATCACATGGCTTACTCCATCCAGGAGGAGGGTCGAGGTGCCAACTGGCAACTGGTAGCAGAAGAAGGGGCGATGAAGGTGAGGACAGAAAACATGAATTATTTCTGTTGTTTGCTGTGAATATTTAAATCTCATTCACATTTTAAAATGTACTGCAGTAGTAACTTATTTGTGCTACAGTGAAAAAAATACACCGCTGAAATACACGGTGATTTAAAACTTTAACAGCCTGAAAAAAATCATCTTAGTTTTTAGTAACGGGTGAAGTTGTTAGTGTGTTTATAATATTCTGTCTGTGGTGCTGTGTAACAGGTATACAGGAGGGAAGTGGAGGAGAACGGCATCGTCCTGGATCCCCTCAAAGCGACACATGCTGTGAAGGGGGTAACTGGACATGAGGTCTGCCACTACTTCTGGGACACTGCAGTCCGATTGGACTGGGAGAGTAAGATCTGTGTTTTAGTCCAACATATTATTACTATTTGACTCTCCTTGTGTTATTGCCATGACCTGATGTGAACTCTCCCTCCCACAGCCACCGTTGAAAATTTCCACGTTGTGGAAAAGCTCTCTGATAATGCCGTCATTGTGTACCAGACGCACAAGGTATACTGAGTGCACACTGCACAGTGAAACACAATGCACATTTCATCAGTTATATTGCACAGCCTGTTTTTGATTGATTGAATTGATCACGTGTCTCCTTTGTTTTAGACAGTGTGGCCTGTCGCTCAGAGAGATGTGCTCTTCCTGTCAGTCATCAGGATGATTCCACCGAGAAATGAAAGTGAACCCGACACATGGATCGTCTGCAACATCTCTGTGGAGCATGATGATGTACCTGTAAGATTAACCCTCAGAGGCTTAGAATTAGAATTAGAATTCAACTTTATTGTCATTGCACAGGTACAGGGCAACGAAATGCAGTTGCCCTTGTGTTTTTAGCGCTAGACTGTTGTGCTGTGTTCATTTAATTAATAGATGATGTTCGAGACATTTTGTGCCATTCAGTTTTTTATTTTCTGTTATTTCTTTTATTTCTTTTATTTTCTATTTTCTGCTGTGCTGAATGAATATAGCTGATATTTGCCAAAAGATATATTTTTTACATTTTGGAATAGTTGTCTCAACTCCTTAAATTAGCTTAAAATGGTTAAGCTATGCACATCCACATTTGATCTAAGGCCAAAAAATGCCCCATTGAAAGCTATTGAAATTCGCTTCAATTTAAAATGTTTAGATTTGTCCACCAGATGGCGCTACTCTTCGCTATTCTAAGCATGCTGGAAAATTTCAAACTCTTCTGTTTTCTGCAGGGGTGTCTTGTCACTGAAATGATAAGTTAGTACCATTAGTACTGCTAATCATTAACCCATCTCGCAGCCTAACAAAAATAGTAATAATAGTCTTATAATCATAATAATAAGTTTTTTTACATGTATATTTCAGGCTGAAGTAGTTTTAAAACTACAGCATATCAGCATTAGCACATCAAACCAACTGTCAGACACAGTGGTGGAGGAATGATGTTTCAGAGTCACAGGAACCTGAGCACCTTTCATGAACTCATGAAGTATTATAGAGTCAAATCTGACACTGGCAGCTAAAGCTTGGGTCACGCGACAGGACAATGATCCCGAGCACAATCATGTGAGAGGCTCATAAAGTCATACACAAGACAATTACTTCGGGTTACAGCAGAGTCCCAGTGCTAAGCACTTGAGTTAAAGGCAGCTTTACTTCTTTTTAGGTTTGTGAAGGTGAAACATCTTTCCTTTTGACATGATGACAGGGTGAGTCAAAAACTCTCAGGACCACCCCCAAGGTGACAATCAGAACAGAATCAGAACACTTTATTGATCCTTAGGAGAAATTATTTTGGTTACAGTGCTCCAGTACAAACAGTAACAAAGACAGACATTACAAAAAGTAAGAAATAGCACAATATATACATACATATAAGTTACTTATTGATAAATATCTCAATAAGAAAGAAGGGAAAGTGCAAAAGGGGTGTAGCTATTGCAGTATACAGTGTGTTAAGTGGATGAGTTGTACAGGGAGATGGCCACAGGCAGGAATGATTTCCTGTGTCGTTCAGTGGTGCTTTTTGGTAATCTTAGTCTCTTGCTGAACTTCTTCTGTGACTGACCAGCATGTCATGGAGTGGGTGGGAGGAATTATCCAACATTGCCTTTATCTTGGACAACATTCACCTCTCCAACACCACCTCAAGAGAGTCCAGCTCCATCCCCACAACATTACTGGCCTTGCGGATCAGTTTATTGAGTCTCTTACCATCAGCAACCCTCAGTTTACTCCCCAAGCATACAACAGCACAGAGGATCGCACTGGCCACAACAGACTTGTAGAAAATCCCAAGCATTGTCCGGCAGATGTTGAAGGACCTCAGTCGCCTCAAAAAATAGAGGCGACTCTGGCCAATCCCAGTAGAGGTTAAATATTTGGGCCTTTATGACTGAAGAAGACTCTCTGATGAGATGTGAAAAATCTTAATGAAAGTAAAAACACGTCCAGTTGCCTTCAGCTCGAGTGCTTAAGCGTGCCATGACCTGGATGACTGAAAACAGACATAAGCACTGCTCCTGGTATAAGAACAACTCTTATATTTGAGGTTTAATACATTATGCCTGACAAAGAAAGCTGGGTAAACATACTGCTTATGCATATTTTTCTCTTCACACCTCCAAGTGCTGTAACAGTGCATCTAGTTAATGTTAGTATCAAACATCATCTTGTCAAACAAGGCCTTATTGAGTAAATGGGAGAACAATGTTAACCAAAGTCTGTCAGTCATATCAGTTACAGTGAGATATGTGTCTGTTTTGGGGGATTTAATTTGTTTTTACTCCTATTTATTTATTCATGTATTTTTCACTTTCAGCTAACAAACCGGTGTGTTCGTGCCAAACTTAATGTTGCAATGATCTGCCAAACGCTGGTTAGTCCACCAGAGGGCGACAAAGAGATCAGCAGAGACAACATCTCGTGCAGGGTCAGCTATGTTGCCAATGGTAAGTGCCTCTTAAGAGCATCTGGCTTTGATCTCAGCAGACAGCAGAACAAAGCCTCTATTTAGTCTTACAGTCCTCACATGTATCACTAGATTTTGTACACGACAGATGAGAAAAGCACACTTTGAATGTCTGAATGTTTGGTTATTCAGTCAAATGGAAGCGTTTGTTAGACCATCAAAGAAAAATATAGAATTGGTTATTCATTCGTTTGAATGACTGACATGCCATTCTTTGTTTTGGCCCTTTTTTGTTTTTGTTAAATGAATTTTGTAGTTTTGACACGAGGATGACCCGGCCTGGGGTATTACTTTGAAATTGTAGTCCAGACTGCAACTTCTGCCCCTGCAGACAAGCAGGTTATTACATAAAGCAGCGCTGCAGGATGAATAAGCCAGTTTATTGTCAGAGATGCCGAGCGAGTCGAGGGAGTTCATTTAAAAACATAAATATTAAATCACCACGTCCCGCCAGAGGGCATCCCACACAGCTGCCTGTGCAGGTTTATTATTAATAGTTTTATCATAAGTCAGCGGGAACACACTGTTTCCTGATTATATTTCTCTGTGTGACTGCAGTGAACCCCGGAGGCTGGTTTCCAGCATCAATCCTCAGACCTGTGGCCAAGAGAGAGTATCCCAAGTTCCTCAAACGCTTCAGCTCCTACGTCCAGGAGAAAACCGCCGGGAAGCCCATCCTTTTCTGAATTCAACGAGGTAACCAGGACCCCAAGCACAACTTGACTGGCAGCTACATCTATAATTATAATTAATTGAATTTGTATATTTTTGTTTTATTGGGTTAATTTAATTACCATGCATACCATCTTTGACCTTTTAAGTTTAACTAAGTTCATGATTTCTTTTCTTTTTTGAGATTGGATTGATTTTATTGAAGTGAACGAGGTAAGATCTACAGAATCTGTAATTATTCAGATGCCCCTCGAGCTTTAAAACAAAAGTAGTTGTTTATGATCTTAGCTAGATCATGCTGGTCATGGGCGCTTTTGTATGTAAGCACAAGAATTTCATGAGGTGATTTTTTTTTTGGGTAAATTATTTCGTGCATTTCTATTGAATTATCCAATTTCCTGACTTTTTTTTTGGGGGGGGTCTTGCTCTAATTGGTAGTATTACAGCTGCTTTTTTCTCAGTTTTTGGTACTGCTAAACTTCACTAAAGGTCAATTAAACAAACAAAAAAACCCTAAACTGTTATTTACAGCAAAAGCACTGATGAGGTGGGAACACTTTCACTTCTTCTCTCCCTCTTGTGACGACTCTTTGCAGTTTAACGGCCTAAAGCTTTGAAATCTTTAATATTGTTATAAAGTAGCTTTCAGAGAGCACAGTGGACACGGTGTATTGTACAGAGAAAACTCTAGATGTCAAATTATCACTTGTGACTCTTAAACACTTGAATTTAATGACAGAAACAGTCAGAAGAAATATAGCTTGGGCGATGAGGAGCATTTAACTTTGGTTTGGTGCCTTTTTCATATGATAGTATTAAAAGGCTTAAACTAAAACCATACCTCTGAAAATGGTCGGGTACAAGGAATGGACGGAAACTGTGTATTTAAAATAAATTAAAATTGTATTTTTTATTTTTTAATAAAAACAGCCAATGTCTAAAGAAAATCTTTGGAAGAGCCCAGAGAGCTATTTCTGAAAACCACTTTAAAAAATTACAAGAAAATCTGGAGGCAAATGTCACGAAATGAGGCGTGGCTGCAGACGTTTTGCACAGTGTTGTAGCTACATGAGCAGAATGCATTTAGTGATTTCAGTTTTGTCTGTATTTTAAATAGTTTGTATATTTTTAAACTGTATATGAGAAATTTTATTTGACAGTAAATGTTTTGCAATGTTCTGTAAATTAAAGTTAATATACAGCAGAACCGATCGTATTCTTTTCCTCACACTGGCGTGACAATGAAACTGGTTTCTGTGGAAAGCCGCAATAATCAGCGTTGGAACAGAATCAGGTCATGGCCGTTTCTACGTGGAGTTTACGTGTTACCACCGTGTTTGCATGCCTAGGGTTTCTGCCCATACTCTCACTAAAGACCGCCACTTCCTAAACATCCACAGCTATGACCTGCAAACGCATGACATGAAATGTTTTGAGCATTCACAGGCAGACACAGAGTTTAAATTTTTTATTTATAGGAGTCTCTTCTTTATATAAATACGCATTGTCTATACATTCAGCGATGAAAGTATATTTTCAGCAAATGGTAAAATATTGGGATTTACATAATAAATTATGGTCTCAACTGACGTGATCGTGGAGTTCAAACACTTATAGCTGGATATGATTTTGACGGAGCGGTACTGGACCGCCACCGAGTGTCTCAGAACTTGAACTTAAAGAGGACATACTTATTCAGTATCAAAGGATATCCTGAGTAAAAGCATCTTCAGTCATGACGCAAACCTCATGAAACTAGTAGTTCCACATCAAACAGAAAAAAAAAATATCTACAGTGTTGCTTCATTGTCTTTGTACATGTAGTGTCAACGACAAAACAAGTGTGCATTTGAATAATAAAGATTTAAAAAAAAGTGCATGTTCACACATCTGTGCTTCTATCAGGTAGCCCACCCGCCTAAAGCAGTGTCCTTGGAGAAATCCGTCTTACAGAAATCATAACATGGCAAAAGTGCCTCCTGCTCCGTGCTTCAGACGAGGCCTGGCCGCAGTCTTTGCTCGCTTCACGCTCCTCTCCGGGCGGCACAGTTAGGAAAAAATGCAGGCCGCTTAAACCGGATCGCACCTCGGGTTTGGCCTCGGCAGCTTCAGTATCTAGTCTGTTCACAGGAGTCTTTCCTGGTAGGTGTTGGATGCGGCTACAAAACCAACTTGTGTCCTTCGTTTGACAACGTGGCGTCCCTCCTCATTGGGGACAAAGATGCCACCATAAATTCAGTGTAAACATTTCTCATTTTAACAGCAACTAAAGCAGTCGCGAATCGTAAAAGTGTCCTTCATGTCTTTCTGAACAGCAGGGAAAGAAAAAAACCCAAACCAAACATCTAAACACATGAATGGTTTGCATCTACCGTCTCCTCAAATATGCTGAAGTTGTTTTGTAGGCCTTGAAAACAGTACACACATATAAAACCTAATGGTACCGCGGCATTGACGCATGTTCTGAAAGCTCAGTCTGATGTACAGCACGTGACACGGTATGTTGCATGGTTCCTCGCAGATCTCCTTCACTTTGACTTTTCGTCCAACAACCAGTGGAAATCTCAGTACTTTTTTTGATGTGTTGGCAAAGACAAGTGGCAACATGGATCTAGCAGCACTGAAAGTGAGTCAAACGCCAGCATGGCCTGTCCAGTGGGGGTGTGGCGATTGTCTTATGCTTGGCAGGAGAAAATGAATGTTTGTAAAGCTGCTCCTTTCACTGTGAAACAAAGAGAATAAGTCAGTATATCCAGCTGAAGCCTAGTCAATATTTAAACAAGAATAACCTGAAATAAATGAACCCACCAGGTAGACGTCAAGAACCGATCCGTCATCTCGATCCATGTCCACGTCCATGGTGCTCTGCTCCGACGTAAGGCAGATGGCACTGTCCTCCAGGGTGAAGGTGGAGCTGGATGCGACGTCATCCCTGAAAAACACGGTCGCACGTTAACTTGTAGACGGACCTGAGAGCTTATCATCTGCGTCAAAGCCCCGGTTAGAGCAGGGCAGCTGTATAAACAGTGCTGGAAAAGGGATTGGAAAAAACCCCTTAACAAACGAACCGCAGATTTATTACGGACTCTGACGTAAAGAGACAAAGAAACCTGTCTGGTGTCGGGACATAGAGGCTCATTGTCTCAGAAGCGCCAAACGGGAGGTTGAAATTGAGAGGAATTGCTGGGAGAGAGAGTCCTACAGATTTCTCAATGTGGAGTTAGAGATACAAGTGAGCTTTAAAAGAGATTTCTTCCAGGAAATTACAGACCTAAAAAGTTAACTCCTTTATTTTGGTTTCCACTGGAGGGAACTTACATCCACAGAAATTCCAATTTTCTATCCTTTCTAATAAAAACTGTAGCATATTGCACTCTGACAGAAAATATGTTCTTTTTCATGCATGTACGCATTCAACGAATGAGATCCAGCTAACGCGCAGCCCACAGATCTTGGAAATTCCTTGCAGTAGTTGAATTGGACGAGGAGGAATGGGGGGAGGGACTTATTAAAAATGGATCAAAAGCGTAATGCTGAAATAGAGTCCTATTAGACTGAATCCATACAGGAGTCAGATAAATGGATTTGAACGTAGCTCGCACATTCGTACTGCAAAATTCATCCTGCCTTTAGTTGCAGTCTCTGGTTAACCACTAGGGGGCAGCAAAAGATCGTTTTCCCTTATATGCACATCAGCAGACTTCCTGATAAATTCAGGAATGTGTTTTTGCCCTTTTCTAACATATGACACACTATGTTAGGGGTTCAAAGAGATGTAATCCAATTAGAACAAGAGCAGCATGTTGCTATAGTTGTAGAGATGACAGATGGATGTGAGACATACGGATAAGCTACAGCTTTATTAAAAAATAAATAAAAAAAAAAGAAGAAGAGAATATAAATAACAATAAAATAAAATTAATTTAACATAAAAAAGAAAAATTGAACGGATAAAGCTACAGGCTTTATTAAAAAATAAATTAAAAAAATTATATAATATATATATATATATATATATATATAATTTTTTGTTTTTTTTTTTTTTTTTTTTTTATTTTCACTCCCCCCACCAAGTGTGTTACTAAAATAAAAGGCAGAGCGGCTGTCAGACAGGGATTATTGTTGGCTGATATACAGTCTCCACAGCGCCGCTTGTCCTCTTTTGTCACCGTATTTGTGCAGCGTAATGGCACAGAGTAAGAGTGTGTCAAAGCTGCTGTTTAAATATTTATAAAAACAGTTGACAGAACAATGTCAGGGCAGCAGCAGGTGACTGATGAAGGGACAAGACCGGGCAAGTCACACAATGCAGCCTCAGAAAGCAAGCTGAACTCGACACTGTTGGACAGGAGGAGCACTGAAAGGTGGAAGGGAAGAAAAAAATGCAAAGAGCAGGGGATGCAGGGCTTAGAGGCTTTTAGCAGGATTGTGTTAAAAATCAGGGTTTCAACTATTAGTCAATGCTGTGCCATTAAAGCATTTCATTAAGGGATGCTTGAGCCATCCAAAGTCATTCCTGCCACAAGAGTCCAATCAAATAAAAGTTTTCCTGGCATCCACTACAACACCACGCATCCTGATTCATATGTTGTCTATGAAGCGTGCACGTGTACTTGGATGCATGCAGGCAAACTAAGTGAGTAACATGCTCCATGACGCACGTCACCAATAAGACCATGTGACGTAGACGCACAGGTAACAATAAGGCGGGAGTGCCCGAGCATGTGCGTGAGTGTACATGTCAGGCGTGACTTCCTTCTTTTCTTCGTGGCCTTGCGTCATGGTTTAAGGTGATCAGCTTAACATTTCAGGATCATGTGAGTGTAGGAAAACAAGGAAACGTCAACACAGGAGAGACTGTACCTGTCCTCTGTTTGGTTTTCCACGTTTACAAAGATGGAGGAGGTGGAGATAGTTCCCATGGAGGAGCCCTCGTAGAAGGATGGGTTGGCTGGGACAATGTCGGGGCGCAGATATGAACCGAACACGGCTGAGGAGGAAAATAGAAAACTAAATTTTAAACATGTGACGGTTTCCTATCTCAGGTGCGCTCAGTTTTAACTTACATGGTGCCAATAAATACAAACAGTCATCTAAAGATGCTTCATAGTGACGCGAAAGGCCCCACAAAATCACAGAGAAAAACCTAACGATTCAGCAATCTAACTATGAGCAAACACTTGGCAACAGGAAGAGCGAGGGCGAGGGCGGCCATCTGCCACAACAGCCTGATGTTAGAGCGCACCATAAAACAGTAAAACAATAAACACTCCTGTGCCTTCAGACTTTCAAACTCCACAATCCAGGTAAGCGCATTTTGACCTCTACGGTTGGGCGATCCCACACATTTTACAACTTTAGGCTGAGTACTTCGGCTCCAGATAAGTGTGGGAACACCAAACGCTGTAAAATCAGAGTTCCCCCTTAAAAGGAAGCATTTCCTGGAAGCTGAGCTGAATAAAATCTAAAGCTGACACTGGATGTATCCTAGGAAAAGCGAGTACGTTTTTCCTGTAATTCTGCCGTGTCTTTGCAGACTTCAAAACCTAATCATCGACACAAGGCAGCGAATGAGAGTTTAATGCAACTGATTAGATTAGGGTGTCAAACATAAGGCCTAGGGGCCAGAATCGAAAAGGCGAAGACTCTGATCCAGCCCACGAGACATCTTTGGAGATTGTGAAGCAGAGCATAAATTTTGGACTTTTACCTGTATTTTCATACATTTTACAGATGTCCTACTGATAAAGATCCCCTCCCACAGCCATTCATATGACACCAAAGTAATGAAGTAATAGATAAATGACTGAATGACATTCAAGTTCCTATAGACATTTCTGTGAATTAAACATTACAGGGCAGTCTGGGGAAATGAGCTACTACAATTCTGTACTTTTACACATTTTGTTTTTACCATTAAAGGCCAAAGAGTCGTAGTGACAGATTTCTTTCATTAACTACAGCCGAATTTCTTTATCATGAAAAACAAAACAAAAACGGAGACATACTGTTAAACACACACTTTTTTTCTCATATTGAGATGGAAATGGATTAAATATGTAGATAAAATTCTTTACACTGACAGAAATGGGATTTTCGCTGGTCCAGCCCACTTCAGATCAAAGCAGCAGCATGTGCGACACACTTTGTTTAGATGCTTCCGGTTAAACTGACATACGAGCCACTCCCTTTAGAGTGAAAACCGATTTCCTGCCCTTCCTGAGACCCCTTCAGTGACCATAAGAGCGAAGGGAAGTTTAACAACCCAAACGGATTTATAGTTTGTTGCATCACAGCTGGAGATACAGCTGGGGCAGGGCTCGATTAGAGGAGAGGACAAATGACCCCCGTGACTTATCTTTCTGCTCCACACCCACATTTCTTCCGGTGTGTTGTTGGCTAAATAACTCGCCTTATCAAACACAAAGATCACACAGATGTAGCTGCTTTATCACGTAAGAATGTAGGGGGAGCTCAATCTAAGGATGGTTTATACACAGTTTGTACACACAAATACTGTAACTGATGTAATGTTAATAGGAAGGTAACCTCTGTTTATTTCCATCAAAGCCAAACAATACATCAACCACTGACTGCTTCCTCCTCTTGGGAAGTGCTGAGAGGACAACATTTTTATGGCTGAGTGGAAGCAGCTCTTTAGTGGCCTCGAGTGTTTCTAAAAAGCTCTAATAAGCCGCAAAACGAAGCTTGAAGAGGCAGACGTGGCGAGGATTAAGGTAAAATGTCAAGTGCTTTTTATGATCTACCAATCCCACCCCCACTTCCTTGGCACAGATGCTGATCTGTCAAACTCTTGTTTTGTGTACCTTGTCCATCCAGGCTGGCGAGGCTGCGCGCTCCTACCAGCCGGTCCCTCCTGTCCTCCTCGTTCCTCTCATCCGCTTGCGATGAAAGGATCTCCTGTGAGCACGACTTCAGAGCAGGGATGGAAGTGCGGGTCCTCTTTGAAGGGGAGAATCGAATTGCTGTGGAGCCAAAATTAAAAAAAAAAAGGAGCACATGAGTCAGGTAAAGGACCACAATCTGATATTCAGGGACTTGGAGGCGAGGGAGACAAAAACTGCAATAATTAGGGGGAGATAAATCAAATCAGTGTTCACACAGAGGAAAACTTCAATGCCCTGCTTCCAAAATTAGAAGCTATTAAACTGTTAAAATGCACAATGACGCTGACACAAATGTCCCCTAAGCCACTTCTTATTCTGCCTCCTGAGCAGGGCGTGAAATAAAATCCTTTCCTGTCATCTCCCTCTGTCGGGACTTGGCAATGGTTAACAGCGCAGCTAAATCCTCAAATCAGTGCCTCAGCCATATGTATTTCCACAGAGGGGGTCCGACATGGTAACATTTGTTTCTATATTTTATGTTCCAAAACAGCTTCCTGGTTTCACCTAAAGCCACACCCAGGACACTGAGAATAGATGCTACGGATAAAACTATTAAAAAACTATTTTCCTATCTCGGAGTTTACAGATCATGTGCTTCAAAAGCTTATCCAATAGCCAACTCTAAAAGACCCAGTGCATTTCAGTGACATCAAAATACCCAGTAATTCATAAGATAAACTGCCTACAGTTTCATTCCCGTTACCAGAGCAGGATTTCCAGCTTTCCACATTTTGTTTCCTCCTTTAGTTTCACATGTATGACCATGATCAGTCAGCTGACTTACGTTGAGTCTTCCTGAAGACCCGTGTGCTCATGAACTTCAGGAAGCGGCTGGCGTAAAACCCGGGCCGGTGGACTGAGACGGAGTCCTGAGGACAAATCAGAAAGGGAGGAAAGAAAAAAAAAAAAAAAAAAAAAGAAGTCAGGTTTTTATCGGACAGCCACGGGTAATTTTAAAGAGGACGTAACAAAATAAAAGGCTCATTCATAAAAGCTGCTCCATCAGATTTGAGCAGGCTATCAACTTACACCATCGTACACCAGGGCTTTCCATGAGTGCTCCAACTTTTTAATGAACCTGCAGGAGAAACACAACAAAAAGAGGCCTTGTTACGAAGGTTATACAACAAATTCCCCTTTATGCCCGATCAAACCTAAAAGGTTTCACTTTTCCCTCTGGGTGCAGTGCAAAGCTTTGCTCAACTTAAAGTTCTGCCTTTAAGTTAAGCAAAATTTAGCTTTTAAGAGAGCAAAAGTACACAAACTCTGCCTTTTCATCATATCTGACCTGATCTGACTTTGCCTTTGCTGTCAAGAGTCTGATGCCGACAAGGCTCACAAAGGTTTATGCGATGCTTTTAAAGCACCACGAGTAGGAAAAGCTGATGACCCAAAAGGCTGTTGGATCTCATAAGACTTCGTGGCACAAGAAGTCAACATATTAATCTATTTTCTAGACAAAGTAAGAAGGAAAGGCAGTAAAAATCCAGTGTTTTTCAGTTTCATTAGCATCAGTACCTGTATGACTGTAGAATATCTATGATGCCCAGGTAGATGAGCAGCTTTTCATCTTTGTGTGTCCGGGCTGGGATGCCACCCATCCTGAAAAAGAAGACAGAAACCAAAACATGGCAGCATTTAGAAAGCAGCTGTAGTTCAAATAAACGTTCAAACGTGCCTCTGCACTTTTTACGAGTGTTTGTAAAAGAGGCTCCTGCAGTATTTACATTTGTGTGTGTGTGTTGCTGTAAATATGCAGACCAGTGTTTGTATTTTTGTAGCTATGGTTATGCGAGAGCCCGACTGTGTGTTCGAGCGTTCTGTGGAAGGTTGTGTAACGTCTGCGAGGGAAAAAGTGGACATCAGGAGACAAACAGAGGAGGTGTGCGTGTGCATGTGTGTGCTTCGCCCCCCCAGGCTGAATAAACTCACGTGTCATCAGTGGTGAGGGCTTCAGCAGCCTTGCCGTCTCCTTGAATGGACTCCATGGCGGTGGAGTAAAGCACCCTCTGAGCCACGGGTCTCCTCCCATCACCCCCTGCCTGACCCTGCTCGCCCCCCTCTCTGTGGTCCAGGACGTGCACGCCCAGCAGAAGACTGTAGTCCATGATCTTGAAACTCTCAAGCACCTATTGCAAATTACAAATAAAAAGAGTTCACTCAATATCACAATCTGGATGTAGTTACATGATTCAATCTCCCACCTCTCAAAACTTTGAAAAGTTTTCTACTAGACTCTCATGAGGAGGGAGTTGTTTCCTTCCTAAAACACTTTCATCACCCAGCTCAGTCAAAAGTGTGTCGGGTGATGAAAGACCAGAAAGCCAGCAACAGGAAATCTCTGCTGAAACCTGTTCAGAGCCAAATAAACAAGGTGTTTCACCACAGAGAGCCAAGTGTTACACACCGACCCGTCTGAGGAGCCTTTTACCAAGCTTCCCATAAACCCTCTGACTTTATGGGAACCCAGTGCTCAAGAAAAGCCACCCTGTGGCAGGAAAAGGGCCGAAAGTGAGGTGGGAGCTTGTTCTGGGAATGGGATTGAGGTCACTGCCGTGTACTGAGGCTTACTTTATGACCCAGACTGAAACAAACAACCAAGAAAAATAAGACAAGCTATGGTAACGGTTTAATATTCTTAGCTTGAAGCCATTTGCTTTTGCAAATACAGTCGGCAGAATAAAAATGACACACATCTTCCGATGGGATCGAGCTTGCAGCTACGCCACGCCTACCGCTGAACTCTGCCTTCGTTTAAGGTCAAAACAATGCCAGTTGAGCTTTCGAGTCATAAATCGCGCTTCCCTCGACAGCTTTAATGTGTTTATATGGGATGAAAAATCAGATGAAACAGGCTGTCTAAACATGAGTGAATAAACCAGATAAATGCTTTAACACTATGCATTCCCACAAAGATTTCTATATTTACTGCAGAAAAAACCTGACATAATCAAAGACAGTCATGGCCCAGAATCCAGAGCAAAATGAAGTTATCTATAGATAAGAAATCCTCGAAGCAAAGTCAGAAGATTTTATTAGTGTTCATTGTAAATCAAGTTAGCATTTGCTGATATTTAAAGCCAAAGCGGCACACACTCATGCACACAACTGCAAGCAGACTTAATGAGTGACTCAAAGCAAACACAGGGCCTTTTCACCGATCACCCCCCACCCCTCTCTTTTTTCATATCAACTATTTGCATCCCCTCGCTCAAACTCCCCCAGCCTATTCAAACAGCAACCATTTTGAATAGAGCCATACACATCACGCTGCCTACAGAAAGCCACGACCGAGCATCCGGGCCCCAGTTTTCCCCGACGGACAATCAAAGCATCACAGCAGACAGAGAACACCCACGTTTGTGTGTTATTTATGCAAAATTTCTCCTTGGATTTTTTAATCTGACTTATTCTGAGGGGCATACCGGTACAGTCTTTAGTTCCTGCTTTCAAACACAACCGTTCTTGTCTCATAGTGAAAGTAATAATAATACTGCACTAAAGCTCCCGTGAGACGCCAGCTTTGTCATAGCAAAGCTTAATCCTCAACAAAATTCGATGTTTCTCATCATAGTCTAGCCTAAAGCGCTCCTCCACCCATTCAGCTCTGAGACAGTAGAGCCGCCCGACTTTGCACTAATACATCAATAATACACAAATACATGTGTTCCCTATTCATTGAGCAAGCTGAAGCATTTTTTCCAAGTATACACCGACAAAGAGTCCAGTTCAAGAACGCTTGGTTTGTCGCAGAAGTCGTGATGGGGCAGAAAGGAACAAACACCAACCCGCCACCTGAGGAGGTCACAAAAGCCACAACTCAAATCCCGCAACACACTGTCAGTGTTGGTAATTTAAGATCTTTTCTTCACAATGGGTAAAAAAAACGGTATGAAATGACACAATAAAAACTGAAAAAAGGGCTTGATTCAGAAAATGGCCTTGATTAGAAAGAAATCTAATTTAACTTTACCCTTCGAATGATTCAAACATAACACATTGTGATCTGAAACTTTAAAAAGAAAAGTCCCACAGGGGTGTAAAGTAGGGCGTAATGTTTTCATATTCGTACTGCTCTCCATGACGTCACGACGCCACGCAACGAGTGGCTTCAGTGACTGCTGACAAAACGGCTGTAAGAGCAACACACTTCCTGACTTCTCTTGAAATGGACCCGAGTGATCAACTGAGCTTCCCTCTCTGTAATATTTGTTTTCACTTGTCTACCGCACTCTGCTGTATTCTTCCTATTTTCCACTGACCTGTTAATTCCACAAACAACATTATTTTCCATATAATGGTTAATTTAATGGCTAAAAATAAAGAGAAAATAGATGAAATTTGCTCTCTGTGCCCCAAAACACTTTAATCACATTAATCAACCAGTCGACAGCCAGAAGGGAATCAATGTCTAACCAGAATAATTGCAGACAATCACATTTAATTCACCTGTTAACAGAAAAAAGAAAAACTTCTATTTTTTTTACCCTGTATTTCCACACAGCGGTCATAATTCAAATTTACTCCCATTACAATCCATCTATCACATGTTCATGCCTGCATTGCACTAAATCTTTCCATTTCTATCCTTGTTGGTGTCTGAAATTCAAAAGCTTGGATTTTAAAATACACTTGCACCCGCTTTATTAGGTACACCTGTTCTTGTTAACAAACATATCTAATCAGCCAATTAGATTCCTGTGACTCAGTGCTTTCAGGAGCTGAGGCATGGCGGAGACGACAAGCTAAAGTTCAAAGTGAGCATCAGAATGGCGAAGAAAGGCGATTAAGTGACTTTGAACTTGACATGGTTGCTGGTGCCAGACAGGCTGGGCAGAGTTTTTTTGGAAACTGCTGATCTGCTGGGATTTGCCTGCACAACCATCTATAGGGCTCACAGTGAATGGTCAGAAAGAGAAAAAATATCCAGCGAGCGGCAACTGTGTGATGCCATCATGTCAATATGGACCAAAATGCCCAAGAAATGTTTCCAGCACCTTTGTGAATCTATGCTATTCTATGGCACTTCTGAAGGCATACAGGGGGCCAAACCAGTACTAGCAAGTGTATCTAATAAAGTGGCCAAAAGTGTATATTTCTTAATGCTTTTTTGGCCTGAGTTGCCCACAAGATGGCAAAGTGTTGACAGCCAAGCATGTGTTGTGAAGAAAAGTCTCCTAACAGCTTGATTTCATCTTCAGCATCACAGTCATTATGTTTGCCTCACTGCACAGTCACTGTAATGTGACAGCAATGCTCTTCACCGCACGCACGCACACACGCACGCACGCACGCAC